TAATTAATATTAATATATTCAGCTCTCCCTTGAATTGGAACCCAAAAAGCAACCATCACGTCAGCTTGGCTTAGAAATGTGTTTGTGGTTATATCGGGCCTGGGCAAACTTGGGCCCTCCAGGTATTTTGGACTTCAACTCCCACCATTCCTAACAGCCTCAGGCCCCTTCCTTTCCCCCCTCAGCCACTTAAGCTGAGGAGGGGGGAAATGGTTGTTCCTGTGTGCCTTCCCAGAATAAGGAAAATTCTCAGCAATATGCTTTCAGAATGCACTTTACCACTGATTTAGGATTGACTGCGTTCCTTCATCTGTCTTTGAAAACCCTATACCAGTTATATCCTACCTTGTTCATGCACGGCGTTTATTTTTTAAATTTTTTAACTATTACATTTGGCCCAGCCATACGTTTTTAAATCCTTGTGTGTTGCTGTTTATTGTTTATATGTGATTTATATTAATTGTATTGTATTTATTGTTTTTGTTTATTACTTTTGTTTATTGATGTACTGTTGGGCTTGGCCTCGTGTAAGCCCCTCCAAGTCCCTTGGGGAGATGATGGCAGGGTATAAATAAAGTTTTTTTAAAAATTATTATTATTATTATTATTATTGTTATTATATTACTGTGTTATATGTAGTGGCATCGAATTGCTGCCAAATGTAAGCCGTCCTGAGTCCCCTTTCGGGGGTCAAGGAGGAACGGGATAGAAATACTGGAAATAAATAAATGAATACGGTTCGCAGCTCCCATAGCCTTCAGCTAACATTAGAAAATGTTGACCATTTCTGCTACCTTGGCAGCCACCTCTCTACCAAAGTCAACATCGTCACCGAAATACAACACCGCCTGAGCTCTGCGAGTGCAGCATTTTTCCAAATGAAGCAGAGAGTGTTTGAGGGCTGGGACATCCGTAGGGATACCAAGGTGCTTGTCTATAAAGCTATTGTCCTCCCAACCCTGCTATATGCCTGCGAAACACGGACTGTCTACAGACGTCACATGCAACTCCTGGAACGATTTCATCAGCACTGCCTCCGGAAAATCCTGCAAATATCTTGGGAAGACAAGCGGACAAACATCAGTGTGCTGGAAGAAGCAAAGACCACCAGCATTGAAGCGATGGTCCTCCGCCATCAACTCCGCTGGACCGGCCACGTTGTCCGGATGCCTGACCACCGTCTCCCAAAGCAGTTGCTCTACTCCGAACTCAAGAATGGAAAGCGGAATGTTGGAGGACAGGAAAAGAAATTTAAAGATGGGCTCAAAGCCAACCTTAAAAACTCTGGCATAGACACTGAGAACTGGGAAGCCCTGGCCCTTGACCGCTCCAGCTGGAGGTCAGCTGTGACCAGCAGTGCTGCAGAATTTGAAGAGGCACAAATGGAGGGTGAAAGAGAGAAACGTGCCAAGAGGAAGGCGCGTCAAGCCAACCCCGACCGAGACCGCCTTCCACCTGGAAACCAATGTCCTCACTGTGGAAGAAGATGCAGAGGAAGAATAGGGCTCCAGAGCCACATACGGACCCACAAGAACACTGGAAGACAATCATCCTTGGAAAATGAGGGATCGCCTAAGTAAAGTAAGTAAGTAAGCTGCTCTGAGTGAGATGTGCGGCATATAAATGCCATAATAAATAAATAATAAATCTATATAAATAAAAATGTAATGTTCGTTTGTGGGATTAATAGAACTCAAAAACCACTGGACAAATTGACACCAAATTTGGACACAAGACGCCTAACAACCCAATGTATGCCATCACTCAAAAAAATTGATTTTGTCATTTGGGAGTTGTAGTTGCTGGGATTTATAGTTCACCTACAATCAAAGAGCATTCTATCCTCATCAACGATGGAATTGAACCAAACTTGGCACACAGTTCTCCCATGACCAACAGAAAATATTGGAAGGGTTTGGTGGGCAGTGTCCTTTGGTTTTGGAGTTGTAGTTCATCTACATCCAGAGATCACTGTGGACTCAAAACAATGATGGATCTGGACCAAACTCTACACGAATACTCAATATGCCCAAATGTGAACACTGGTGGAGTTTGGGGAAAATAGAATCTTGACATTTGGGAGTTGTAGTTGCTGGGATTTATAGCTCACCTACAATCACAGAGCATTCTGAACCGCACCAACGATGGAATTGAACCAAACTTGGCACACAGTTCTCCCATGACCAACAGAAAATACTGGAAGGGCTTAGTGGGCAATGTCCTTTGGTTTTGGAGTTGTTGTTCACCTACATCCAGAGATCGCTGTGGACTCAAAACAATGATGGATCTGGACCAAACTCTACACGAATACTCAATATGCCCAAATACGAATACTCAATATGGCCTTCCGAATGCCGAGACCCCTTCATACAGTTTCTCATGCTGTGGTGACCCCCGCCATAAAATTATTTTTGTTGCTATTTCATAACTGCAATTTTGCTACTGTTATGGATTGTAATGTAAATATATGATATGCAGGATGCATTTTCACTCACTAGACTAAATTTGGCACAAACACCCAATACACCCAAATGTGAATACTGGTGGGGTTGGGAGGAGGGCTGATTTTGTCATTTGGGAGTTGTAGTTGCTGGGATTTATAGTTCACCTACAATCAAAGAACATTCTGAACTCTACCAATGATAGAATTGAGCCAAACTTCCCACGCAGAACTCCCATGATCAACAGCAAATACTGGAAGGGTTTGGTGGGCAGTGTCCTTTGGTTTTGGAGTTGTAGTTCACCTACATCCAGAGATCGCTGTGGACTCAAAACAATGATGGATCTGGACCAAACTCTACACGAATACTCAATATGCCCAAATGTGAACACTGGTGGAGTTTGGGGAAAATAGAATCTTGATATTTGGGACTTGTAGTTGCTGGGATTTATAGCTCACCTACAATCACAAAGCATTCTGAACCCCACCAACAATGAATGGAACCAAACTTGGCACACAGTTCTCCCATGACCAACAGAAAATACTGGAAGGGTTTGGGCCAAACCTCCTACACAGAACTCCCATGTGGGCCACAGCAACGCGTGGCAGGGGACGGCTAGAAAATAAATAAATGTGTCCTTATCATTACTCTTACTGGTCGCTTCTGTGCCCTTGCGCTGTGCTACTCTGCTGCTGATTATGCATGCCCAGTGTGGAACACATCTTACCACACTAAAACAGTGGATGTGGCTCTTAATGAGACATGCCGCATTATCACGGGGTGCCTGCACCCTACACCACTGGAGAAATTACACTGCTTAGCCGGTATTGCACCACCTGACATCCGCCGGGAAGTAGCAGCCAATAGTGAAAGGACCAAGGCAGAGACATCTCCAGCTCATCCCTTGTTTGGGTATCAGCTAGCACGTTAACGACTTAAATCTAGAAATAGTTTTCTAAGATCTACAGAGACACACGCTGGAACACCTCAGCAAGCGAGAGTCCAAAAGTGGCAGGCTCAAACCCAGAACGTCAACCAATGGCTGATACCAAATGAGAGACTCCCCCTTGGGCATACAGAAGACTGGCCGACTTGGAAGGCACTTATTTATTTTATTTATTGTGTCATCAGCAACCATACCATTGTATTCAAGTTCTAACAGAACAAAACAAACACACAGATTAAAAAGAAAAAGGAAAAAACCCACAGATTTTGCAAACTTGGTAGTTGGCTAAATGTCCTTTGACTAGTATCTGGCCACTTGGAGTGCTTCTGGTGTTGCTGCAAGGAGGTCCTCCATGGTGCATGTGGCAGGGCTCAGGTTGCATTGCAGCAGGTGGTCAGTGGTTTGCTGCTCTCCACACTCGCATGCCGAGGATTCCACCCTGTAGCCCCATTTCTTGAGGTGGGCTCTGCATCTCGTGGTGCCAGAGCGCAGTCTGTTCAGCACCTTCCAAGTCGCCCAGTCTTCTGTGTGCCCAGGGGGGAGTCTCTCATCTGGTATCACCCATGGATTGAGGTGCTGGGTTTGGGCCTGCCACTTTTGGACTCTCGCTTGCTGGGGTGTTCCAGCGAGTGTCTCTGTAGATCTAAGAAAACTATGGACCAAACTCTACACGAATACTCAATATGCCCAAATGTGAACACTGGTGGAGTTTGGGGAAAATAGAATCTTGATATTTGGGAGTTGTAGTTGCTGGGATTTATAGCTCACCTACAATCACAGAGCATTCTGAACTCCACCAGTGATGGAATTGAACCAAACTTGGCACACAGTTCTCCCATGACCAACAGAAAATACTGGAAGGGTTTGGTGGGCAGTGTCCTTTTGTTTTGGAGTTGTAGTTCACCTACATCCAGAGATTACTGTGGACTCAAAACAATGATGGATCTGGACCAAACTCTACACGAATACTCAATATGCGCAAATGTGTACACTGGTGGAGTTTGGGGAAAATAGAGTTGTAGTTGCTGGGATTTATAGCTCACCTACAGTCACAGAGCATTCTGAACCCCACCAACGATAGAATTGGGCCAACCTCCCACACTGAACTCCCATGTGGGTCACAGCAACGCGTGGTAGGGGACAACTAGTTAATAGAATCATAGAATCAAAGAGTTGGAAGAGACCTCATGGGCCATCCAGTCCAACCCCCTGCCAAGAAGCAGGAATATTGCATTCAAATCACCCCTGACAGATGGCCATCCAGCCTCTGTTTAAAAGCTTCTAAAGAAGGAGCCTCCACCACACTCCGGGGCAGAGAGTTCCACTGCTGAACGGCTCTCACAGTCAGGAAGTTCTTCCTCGTGTTCAGGTGGAATCTCCTCTCTTGCAGTTTGAAGCCATTGTTCCGCATCCTAGTCTCCAGGGAAGCAGAAAACAAGCTTGCTCCCTCCTCCCTGTGGCTTCCTCTCACATTTTTATACATGGCTATCATATCCCCTCTCAGCCTTCTCTTCTTCAGGCTAAACATAAATAAATGTGTCCTTGTCATGACTCTTACTGGACACCGAATAAGCGTGAGGCGTCGCCTAGGCCCTTTTGCTGAAGCCACTCACCGCCCGTTCTCCGTCTCTGGGCCTTTAATGCCTTCAGCTCCACCCTCAGGGGGCGGGGTTGCATAATATTGACTCTAAAGAGGACGGCCGGGAAAAGGGCGCGAAGAGGCAGCAGCGCCCAAGAGGCTGAAGGAAGGAGAAGGCGAAGGAAACCAAGGACGGCAGAAAGAGAGAGAGGGAGAGAGGGAGGGAGGGAGGGAGGGAGGGAGTCAGTAGCGCGAGCCATTGATTGGCGCATGGGCCGGGCCAATGGCCTCGCTCCGTTCGTGGCGGCTCGAGCAGGGAGGCGGGGTCGGTCGCGCGGCAACGTCCCCCGACCAATCGCCGCCCTGGTGTGTAGCCTCGCGAGCCAATGACCGTTGCGTTCCCCTCTCCCCTTCTCCCCCCCCTCATTGCTTCAGTCAGGAGGAAGGAATATCTATCTCCAGGGCTGTTCTGCTTTTTTTCTGTTTTGATCCCTCTCTCTCTCTCTCTCCCCTCCTCCCTTCTAGGAATGGGGTGAATCTAAGGGATTGGCGTCTCTACGAGGAAATGATCCACATTCATTGCGCGCCTGGTTGTCATTTCTTTTAATATGATTTAGTCTTCGTTTTCTTGACATCCAACATGGAAGACGTTTCTTAGGACCTCCTTTTGAGCTGGATGTGGGGCGAAGTGACCTCTTGTACCTCAGCGCCTCCCTAGTATTGAAGACAAGTGGAGTATTACTATTATTACTATTATTATTATTGTATCCCGTGAGGAAATGGAAGGACCTTCGGCGCCACAAGAACAAGGAGACTGGTCCCTTTTCACCGTCAAGCATGAGCTGAGGAACGGTAAGAAGGAAAGGAGGGAAATCCCATATTATTTGCTTTGAACTGGGATATAGGGCAGTGTGGACTTAGGGCCCTTCCACACAGCCCTATATCCCAGAATATCAAGGCAGAAAACCTCACATCTGCTTTGAACTGGAATATTTGGCAGTGTGGACTTAGGGACTTCCACACAGCCTTATCTCCCAGAATATCAAGGCAGAAAACCTCACATCTGCTTTGAACTGGAATATTTGGCAGTATGGACACAGATAACCACTTCAAAGCAGATATTGTGGAATTTCCTACCTTGATATTCTGCAATATAGGGCTGTGTGGAAGGGCCTTGGGTTATCTAAGGCTCCTTCCACATAGTTTAATAAAATCCCATATTATCTGCTTTGAACTAGGATACATGGCAGTGTGGACTTAGGGCCCTTCCAAACAGCCCTATATTCCAGAATATCAAGGCAGAAAACCTCACATCTGCTTTGAACTGGAATATATGGCAGTGTGGACTTAGGGCCCTTCCACTGAATGCTAGAGATTCAGGATTATCTGCACATTGCACCTACCTCCAAATACCTCTACATATTACCTGTCAAGTTCAGCACTTTTTAAATTTTGTCCATTACATTTGCTTTTAATTGCGTCACGGTGACATTGTTTTACTGTTTTATTGTTTTGCTTGATGTTTTATTATTTGCTTATGAGTTTATTGTGTACTGTATGTTGTTGTTTGTCAGCAGCCTTGGCCATTGCAAGCCGCATTGAGTCCTTGGGGAGATTTTGCGGGGTATAAATAAAGTTAATAATAATAATAATAATAATAATTCCACACAGCCCTATATCCCAGAATATCAAGGCAGAAAACCTCACATCTGCTTTGAACTGGAATATATGGCAGTGTGGACACAGATAACCCACTTCAAAGCAGATATTGTGGAATTTCCTGCCTTGATATTCTGGGATACAGGGCTGTGTGGAAGGGCCTTGGGTTATCTAAGGCTCCTTCCACAGAACTGAATAAAATCCCACATTATCTGCTTTGAACTGGAATATATGGCAGTGTAGATTTAAAATAACCCAGTTCAAAACAGATTTTGTGGAATTCTCTGGTTTGATATTCTGGGGTCCCTTCCACACAGCCCTACATTGCAGAATATCTGCTTTGAACTGGGTTTTCTGTGTCCACACTGCCATATATCCCAGTTCAAAGCAGGTAATGTGGGATTTTATTCAGCTGTGTGGAAGGGGCCTCAGATAACCCAGTCCCTTCCACACAGCCCTATATCCCAGAATATCAAGACAGAAAATCCTGCATTATCAGTTTGAACTGGTATATATGGCAGTGTGGACTCAGATAACCCAGTTAAAAGAAGATATTGTGGGATTTCTGCTTTGATATTCTGTGTGGAAGGACCCTGGGAAAGAAGGGGAGAAATCCCGCCACAAAATAAAGGGGTGGGAGGCTTATGGAGCAGGTTCATCAAAGTCTGAATCATGTGAGAGTTTTTGTTAATAATGCATTTCTCTGTGTTTTCACTTGCATTCCTTTTTCTAATTTATCCTGAATCTCTGGAGGAAAGGTGAGAGATGTGTCAGAACAACATGACATATAGAGTTACAGAGTTGGAAGAGACTACCAAGGGTCATCCAGTCCAACCCCTTTCTGCCATGCAGGAAAATGTTAATAATAATAACTTTAATGAATAATAATAATTAAAAAATTTTGCATCCTACCCCCATCTCCCAAAAAAGGACTTGGGTGGCTTACAAGTATAAACATCAACAGTAAAAAGGTAAAGGTTTTCCCCTGATGTTAAGCCTGGTCATGTCCGACTCTGGGGGTGGTGCTCATCTCCATTTCTATGCCAAAGAGCCAGTGTTATCCATAGACACCTCCAAGGTCATGTGTCCAGCATGACTGCATGGAGCACCATTCTCTTCCTGTAGAAGCGGTACCTCTTGATCTACTCACATTTGCATGTTTTTGAACTGCTAGTTTGGCAGAAGTGGGCCTAACAGCAGGAGCTCACCCTGCTCCCCGGATTTGAACCGTTGACCTTTTGGTCAGCAAGATCAGCAACTCAGTGGTTTAATCCGCTGTGCCACCAAGGGGCCTTAACATCAACAGTACAGGAGTATAAAATAGAATCACATAAGAGTTATAAGCAACCACTATCAACACATAAATAAGATAAAACAGACAATTTAAAACCACTTACCATCAATGGTTAAAACTAGCTGCCATCAATATTCAACTAAAGTGCCAAAGTGTCAGCCTAATACAGGCCCATTTCAACCTACTTGAGGCCAAAGGCCTGCTTAAAAATCCATTTTATTAGGCTAGAACAGAAGAATAACTTTGTATCCCGCCTCATCTCCCCAAAGGGACTCAGGACAGCTTACAAAACAGCAACAATGCAAAACAGAACAATATAGGATGTACAGCAGTCAAAATAAAAAATAAATACCAAATAAAATAACAACATTCAGGATTAACATAGAATGCCTCAATCAAAATAAAATAAACAATAAAACACAACAATAACTTGTAATTAAACCAAACTATGCAAACCACTTGAACGTTCCAGCCACAAAATGGATTAAAAATCTCAGCATCAGGGTATGCATGCAATTCATTGTATTTAGTACTACAAATTTTAGATGATTCATTAGACATTAGAAACACAATCAAAGCACCCCTGACAGATAGCCATCCAGTGTCTGTTTACAAAATCCAGAGGAAGGGACTCCCCCCTCCCCCTCCCCCACCCCGGGCCATCGAGTCCAAATCTATCCAGCCATGCAGGAAAACATGATCAAAACACAGATGGCCACATCAAGCCTCTGTTTAAACCACACACCCCAAACCCCTGAGAAGCCAAACAGCTCTTACCATTAGGAAGTTCTTCCTAATTTTTAGGTGAAATCTTTTTCTTCTATTTGAATCCATTGCTTTGTGTCCTCATCTCCAGAGCAGCAGAAAACAAGCTTGCCTCTTTCTTAATGTGACATCTTTCAAATATTTAAACAAGGCTCTCATGTCCCCTCTCAGCCTCTCCTCCAAGCTAAATATACCAGCTTCCTAAGCCACTCCTCATAGAGCTTGACTTCCAAACTTTTCGATATCTTTCTATAATTGCAATATCCATATACAATGCAATATATTAGTGTACCTCCCCTGCTACCCCAAGTGAGGAACGTGGCTAAAAATTGCCCAGGGAACTGTAGAGGACAGAAAAAATAGTGGGCAAGACCCATAGGAGAAAAGGGAATGTTCTTGTTATTATAGGTATATAATGCTTATTTTATATTTAGCGCTTTTTGGACTCAAAGCAGCACACAATTTAAAAGAACCATACAGTTAAAATGAATAAGAAGTGGATACTAACATGGAACTAAATGAATTACAATATTCAAATCTGAATAAAATTCAAATTCAAATCTGAATAAAATAGTAAAGTGCGATGAAAAATTAAAAGGTACAGAAAAGAAATGGGACAAGCAGTGAGGATAATAAGGATGGGAGTGATATAGGGATTGGAGCAGAACAAGCAGGGAGGTGAATGAGATGAAATGGTTTTGTGGGAGACAGAGGGACTGTCATGGGATAAAAAGTTGATTCCTCAGTTGGAGGCGAATGAATCAGAGAGTACACCTAGTTGAATGAAGTTTGACACCAGTTTAACAGTTGAATGCAATGGAATCCTGCAATTTGGAGTTTAGTGATGTACCAGCAATCTTTGGCAAGAAAGCTAAATGTCTTGCAAAACTACAACCCTCATAATTCCATAGTATTGAGCCATGGCAATTAAAGTGCCAATGCATTCGTTCTACAGTCTAGATGTATTCTGAAGACTTCTCCTTGGGGAAACTGGAAGGGCTACTTTGATGCTAGAGGTCAGGAAAGCCACATAGTTCCGGGCATGTTGAAACTATCTTTTGGGAAAGGGTGTGTTTTCTCCTGTCCCATGTTACACCCCATTTTCCGGAATCTTATGTTGGTCAAAATGCCATATTTCATTGTTCATCTTCTTGCACGGTGTGTGATAAGCACAATAAATAGATTATGAAAGAACTCTTACCATGTGCTGCTCCTCCTCTGCCGTGAGTATTGTTAAATTGGCTTATTAATGGTTTGTTGAAGCTTGGAGGGCAGTCCAGTGTTTCATGGAAAGTACCTAACTAACTTCAATAGGATATGAACTGAAGCATTTCTCATTTTTTTACAGATATAAAACCCAGGTGACATGTTTAGTAGTCATGGGCCCAAAATTCGTTTAATTCGTGTTTCCATTTCGTTCCGTCCATTCAGATAGCACGAAACGGAAAGGCACTCCTGAAATGAAAATGCAGTCGATACAGGCCTGCCTTTTGGATGGATTGCAAGAGGCCTGGCAGGGCCTGCAGCCAAGCGCCGAGTATGGAGCACTCCGTACTTGGTGCTCGGCTGCAGACACCCCCGGTGCTTTGAGCCTACGTGCCCAGGCCTGGCAGGGCCTGCAGCTGAGCACCGAGTAAGGAGCACTCCTTACTTGGCGCTCAGCTGCAGGACCTGCAGCTGAATGAAATGGAAACACGAATTAAACAAATTTTGGGCCCACGACTACTAAACACGTCACCTGGGTTTCACATGTCACCAGAATTGTGGATGATGCAGTTAGGTGTAGTGGGGGATCCTTCTTCGGAGGCTTTTAAACAGAGGTTGGATGACCATCTGTCAGGGGTATTTTGAATGTATTTTTCCTGCATAGCATGGGGTTGGACTAGATGGCTCATGTGGGATCTTCCAACTCTTATGATTCCAGGTTCTATGTATTGTCGAAGGCTTTCATTGCCAGGATCACTGGGTTGTTGTAGGTTTTTCCGGGCTATATGGCCATGTTCTGGAGGCAATTTTTCTCCTGACGTTTCGCCTGCATCTATGGCAAGCATCCTCAGAGGTAGTGAGGTCTGTTGGAAGTAGAAAAAATGGGTTTATATATCTGTGGAATGACCAGGGTAATGTTTCAGCTGAT